TCTTCCCACCAGCTCTACGTGGTTTGATTTTATCACCTAACAGACCTTCACACAAGGTTTACATGAACCGATATTGGACATGCAGCAGTTTCAAAATTAAATTTTAAATTCATAAATGTAAAGGCAATCCAAATACAAGGAGAGCTGTGGATCTACAGCGAGTGTGTATGTCTGTAGAGCACAGATTCTGCTGTGCACCACAGTCATGCCAGATGCACAGCTGAAGGGCTTTTGCCCCTTCATGGTTATCTGTTTCAACTTTTTGTTTGTCCTCTGTGACCTTTTCTCCTAAAATTATTGTTTTCTTTCTTTGTCACCTTACTGTGAGTAATTCTACTTCATATGCTTTTGAAAGAATAACAAGGAGCCTTCATACTTGAAACAGTTTCCATATCTTCACTCATTCTATATATTTAAGAAAAGAAAAAATCCCTCACAAAGTTCATGTCTTCTTAGGCAAGTAGTAACTGTTCTGTAGATATGAAAACGTTACTTAAATTCCTCAGGCAAAATCAAACTGGCTCTGCATTTGCCAGAAACACTGTGATATAAATTCCTCCTCATTTGTGCATGTCTTAGAAAATACAAAAGAAGGAAAATGTTACCAAGTGATTCCTTCTGCCTGTTCTCTTTTGAAACTTTATTCCTGAAAATACTTATTCTGGCTCATACAACCCAACACAAGAGGACTCTGCCTTTTCCAGGAGAGGAACACTATCAAAATATTTTGGAATACCAAGCATTGGCTATGAATTCAGACCTTGTTCAACCACAATAATTATGTGCACAGACCTGAAGATATAATTTTATAAACACCCAAAGTGCTTCTCAATCAAATTGAGTTGGGATTCAGATTAATCTTACAAAAGATGTCTTAATGAGGTGACCTGGGGTCTCAGCTTCTCACCAAACTAGAACATTTATGTTTTAAAGAGAGCTAAGGAAAGCAGGAAGAAGAACGTCTCCCTTTTATAAAAAAGGAGGAGCATTAGAGTGTTTGCCAAATAGTTTCAAGCAGATCTTTTCACAGTACTGCATAAAACATGTCTGCCAGACTTCCTTTGTTTCACAGATGAATGTCCAGTCTGAAGATTGTTTCTCAAGTAGGTGATCTTCAGATGTGAGAGACTACTTTGATGTGTTGAGAGAGCTCCAACCCCTTCTAAACTTAATTTCTGTGTAGCTGTATTTGTGATGCATAATTGATTCACTTAGGTATAGTCTGGGTGAGAAAAGAGCCAGCAAATATTTGTATTTCCCCCAGCCATTCTGTGCACTGCATAGGACTGTTTTTCTCCCATGAGTTCACTTTTTTTAAAGCATATTATCAAGCTATGGCAAATACTGAACTTCTCTAACATGCGAGGAACATGGAAGCTTTGAACAAATCACGCTTTTCTTACAGTGCTTTGGGAAGATGGTAAACCAGGATAAAGTGATGAGGGAAAATCAGAAATTGTATGTCAGTGCTTAGGGCTTGTGGAATGTTTTATCCACCGCTGCACAGAGAAAGCTAAGTGCAGAGAGGAGCACTGTATTTGTAACAGTCTGAACATAAAATCCTGTTCAAAAGTTTCCCAAGTCAGACCCACTTAAACACAAACATCATCCTGTTGTACTCTAATTCATGGGGTACTTACCTGGAGCCAGTGTGAACACAGCTGACTGCCAGCACCAGAGAGGGTGAAGTCTCATCTTGATTTTAAACTGAGTCCTACTTTTAAGTCCTGTAAAGTGTACTCAGATAGTTTATCAGCACTAATTAGGATTTTAATGCATCTTTCCAGCTCGCAGAAGAAGCCTACAGGAATAACACTGCCTCCACCTACCCTCAGCCCAAGGACCTCGAAGCCTTCATCCGCTCTCAGGTGTACAGTACTGATTACAACAGCTTCGTGGCTGACTCCTACACCTGGCCTGAAGAGGCCATGAAAGTGAAACTGTAAATATTTAATGAAGAATGAACAAATCACCTGCAGTTAAAAAGCATTAAAATATTAAGGTTGTTTCTGCCTAGAGAGCCTAAGAATAGCTAATTTTTTAAGATGCAGAAAACTTTTTCTAATTCACAGTAGTTGGTTAGAAACTCAGATCAAGACATCGTCAATTATACATCAGAAAATAAAAATTAATCTGAGAGATATATTTGTGTTTGGTTATTTTGATTGTTATTTTAATTGAGATATCCTACACTACAGTTTCACAGTTTTTTTTTAAAAGTGGTTACATCTTGAGTCAAGAGTTTTGTCATAAACATCAGTGGGAACTTAAGGAGATAAATGGGCACTTAAAAATACATTTGATATTTTATGCACTACAGTCACAGTGTAATTTGCATAATTTGCAAACCTGTTATTAAAAAAAAAACAACCCAAGCTTTAAACAACCATGAGGTTAGAATGTTTTATTCCAGAGAAAATGCTTACTGATCACTCTTGTGTGGAGTTATGAGATGAAAATTTTCTAGAAGAACCAAATCTGCAGAACCTTTTGTTCACATCTAATCAGAACATTTTAACACTACTAACAATAACATTTACCAATACTAACATTTAACATTAGCTAAGGTAATATCCTGTATAAGATCAAGGATTTAATTCCCCCACCAAGATGACCACTGTTCTGATCCATTGCAAATGTTTGGCCTAATTTCTTGAACTCCATGTTCTTGACAAAAAGGGAGTATCAAAATGCCAGGAACAGACTTTGAGGAATTATTATTTGGTAACAATTACCACTCCAAGAAAAATGCAATATATTTTCTGGATGGTTCTGGAAACAAAGGTTACTTAAACATTTTTTCTAACATCTGTTTCTCTCTAATCTTTACTAGAGAGATTATCTCTAGAAAACCAAATACTAATTTCATTTGTCTGGCCCCTCAGCTCTGTCACAGCTGCAGATTAGAGGTCCCAAATTCAGAAAGAGAGGCACTTTCTCCCTCACTGCCTAATGGGAAGATGTCAACATTTTTGCTTCACTGTGTTTTTGGCAGAAGTTATGATCACACAACAGCACACTTACCACAACCTACCACAGTGAAGGAAAATACATTAATCATATTCTGAGCAACCAAAACCACTCTGCATTTCAATGCCATCCTCTGCATTTCAATGTATTGCTATTGTGAGAAGGGTATTAAAACAATTCCTTGTACTTAATTTGAAATAAAATAATATCTGTTATTTATGTTCTCATCAGCTAAGTGTGCTGAAACACAGTCTTTAAACAGGTGCTGCTGAGTGCCTGGGTGTTGGAGTGGTGCAGCTCAGCAGTGAGTCTGCTTTTATTGCTTGGTAGCCCTTTTCACATGGAGGCACTCAGGCACAGAGTGGGAGGTGGTGGGCTGGTGTTCCTTCAAGGGGACTTTCCAGTAGTGTTCTTCAACTGTATATTATATTGAAACATATTATATTGATACACATTATATTATACATATTATATTTAAATATGATCATGCATTACAAACTGGAACACTCACCATCCATATCCACACTCAGCACGCTTCCCTGCAGGAAAACACTGCCTAATGAACCATTAACAGCATTGCGTCCTACAAGCTGCGGGAAAATTCTCTCCATACTGATTTGACATAGAAAGGACTCTTCAAGTTATTTGTATTTTTATGAAGTATTAAAAAAAAAAATATATATATATATATATGGTTTTTTCCTAGTTTCTGTATCATACATGTATTTCCTTATGTAATGTAGGAGGGAAAACTAAACTTTGTCTCAGCTGACCCATTTTCATTTCCAAGGTGTTTGGCCTAACAGTGTAAACATAAAATGCCATGAATTGAACAGATGAAAAATTGTTATTAACATAGCCAGACAGACACTTTGGCTGATGACATCCTTAACTGAAGAGACATGGATTTGATGGATGAACCACTTGGTAGGTCAGGATGGTTGGTTGCAAAGAGTTGCAGTCAATGGCTCAATGTCCAAGTGGAGACCAGTGGCAGTGACATTCCTGAGGGCTTGGTATTAACATGCCTGTCAGTGACACGGACAGTGGGACCAACTGCACCCCCAGCAGGTTTGCTGATGGCACCAAGCTACAAGGAGCAGTCAACACACTGGAGGGAAGGGATGGATATTATCCAGAGGGACCTGGACAGGCTTGAGAGGTGGGTCTGTGCAAAGCCTCGTGGTGTTGAAGGCTGAGTGCAAGGTCAGGGCAATCCCAAGCACAAACACAGACTGGGTGGAGAGCAGCTCTGAGGAGCTGGACTTGGCACTGGTAGACAAGAAGCTCAACATGAGCCAGAGATGTGCGCTTGAAACCAAGAAAGCCAACTGTATCCTAGGCTGCATCAAAAGCAGCATGACCAGCAAGCTGAGAGATGTGATTCTCGCCTTCTACTCCACTTTTGTGAGACCTCAAACACACCACTGCATCCAGCTCTGGGACATGAACATAAAAGGAACACACAGACCTGCTGGAGCAAGTCCAGAGGAGGGCCACAAAAAATGATCAGAGGGCTGGAGTATCTGTCCTAGAAAACTGGCTGAGAGAATTGGGATTGTTCAGCCTGGAGAAGAGCAGGCTTTGGCAAGACCTTATAGCACCTCCTAGTACCTGAAGGGACCCTACAAGAAAGCTGGACTTTTATACAAGTGCATGTAGTGACAAAACAGGGAATGTTTTAAACTGAAAGAGAGTAGGTTCAGATGCGATGGGTAGAAATTCACACAGCACAGTACAGATGAGAAGACAGAAGTGTATAATTCCTAACATTGTGGAAAGTTTATCACCTTGCAAGTGCTTTGAGGCATGGCTCACAGAGACAAACACCAGGTTTAGAGTCTTAGAAAATCAGTGAACATGTCTGAAAAATACATGGCAGTTCAGCACAAAAGCTGAGATTAACTACTTTAACCATTCATCTCAGATGTTAAAAGTTTCCTTTTTCACAGTAGCTGTAAGGCAAAATATTTCAGTGTTAGCAACACCCCTTGCTCTCCAGAATTAGAACTCTTTATAAACAGTTTCTCTCAATTGTCTGAAAGTTTGCCTTCAACACCAAATAAAATCTGAAAAATGTGTCCACTTTGATGCTGTTTCAGGAATTCTAGAAACTGGCCAAGATCCATGTGATAGTCATTCCTCAGGCCATAATCACCATGTGCCTGAAACTGCAGGTCTTCAAAGCTGTGAAAGAGACGAAGATTATCAATGCTTCCCTCTGTTTCTATATTCTCCACATGCTTGCATGAAATATGCTTCCAGTTGGGATATCTAATAACACGCCAGAACTCCTCACAGTTTTCTTGGAGTCCCTCCACACAGATGACACCAGGTTTCCCAGTTAGGCAGAAGCCAGTCAGATTTAACTTCTTAGCACAGTCAAAAATCTTTTTCCTCAGTTCCTGCCTGTATATGTGATGGCTGTAGATCCACATGCGATGCAGCATTTCCTTAACCCTGACTTCTTCAGAAGCACACTCAGACGAGGCCTGGCAGTTTTCCAAGAAGGGCAGGGTGTTGTCCTTCACCCACTGCACAGCCTCACATACACACAGATCTCCTGGATCCAGAGAGCTGATGTGAGACATGAGACGAGTGTTGAGCTGCAACTGTTGCTGTCTGTGCAGAGCATCTGATCTGGCAAAAAGCTGAGGAGCCACCTGAGGGTACATATGAGGAAGGAGAACCTGCAATTCCACCTTTACCTTAAAAACAGAAGACACACACACAGAAAATTAATTCTGCAGCTGCTGAAGACGCACTAGATTCTTCTTTCCTGTCAGAGGCAGATTATGAGGAGATGTAATCAAGATTGCAGCATCCTACTGACTGGAACTATTTCCACTTCCCTTTTGTCCCAAAACCCATTCTTTTGTCTGTTCCTCTTCTTGTGTTGCATCCTGCTGTCACTTTCACAACACTTCCGATGTTATCCAGGCAGCTTTTGTGCTGTTCACAGAACTAATGCTATGGCTTGGGAGAAGGTACACAGTTAGCCTCCAGGGATATTTCTAGCTCAGTGTTGCTACAGCAATGACCTGCTGGAGTCAAGGGCTTTTGAGAATCTCATCCCTTACCAAATGCACATGACTAATGAACTCAGCTCAGCTGCTGGAAAAAAAGGCCAAGAGTTACATGGAATGGTGTTTGTGATTGTACCTACTGCATATAGAGACCCCTGGCAGGAGTGCTGGAAATAACTTGCCCTTTAAGGTTGCTCCCAACCGTGGCAGGAGTGTTGGAATGTGTGTTATCATCATTTTAAACAAGTATTCACCATAAAGAGGAATCAGGATTATAGGGGATGTAAAGATTTATGTACATTTCAGGTCAGGGAGACCTCAAGATTATTTTATCTGATCTCTTATGAACACTGGGCTGTTGGATTTCTCTTGATTATTCCTACAGTGCCTTCAAACAGAGCACCACAGTTCTTTGGGAGCTGAACCCTGCCTCTAGTCCAAGAGCAGGAAAGGATTAATGTGTCCTCAGTGCCTCAAGCTCCTGTAGACTCTTAGGGGGTACTCACTACAGTGCACAATCATATGATAGTCCTGTAGAGAAAAGTGAATCATTAAATGACTAAGTATCTTTCCAAGTCCCTTGACGATCTGCAATGGAAAAAAACCCACTACTCCTACACAAGCCCTCCCTACATGGCTCATAAAACTTCTCTCTTGTGGGTTGGTAAAAGGGTGCATTTTAGAAAGATACCTAAGCTTGTACCTGAAGTTTAAAAAAAATCATGAGGCCATGCCACTGCCCAGTAAATTATTCTAATGTTTGATTACCTTCATTCCATAGAAAATGGCTTTTAGGCTGAGTTTGTCTGTTCTCAATTTCTAGCCACTGCATTAGTATGCACTCAGACCTGAGTTTTCTGTGCAAGTATTTACACTAATTACTTCAATCCTTTTCTTCAATCACTTAAACTGTTGTAAATCCTTATACTGAGAGTTTGGTTCTCTGCTCATAGGCTGGTTTTGTTTTTGTGTCCTTGTGACTCCTCGTAATTGCAGTCTGCCACTTGGGGCTATTTTTACCTTACTCTATTTCTAACACAGATGTTAGCAGCAGCCGAGATTTTCTGTTACTCTAGACTTCTCAAAGAGCAAACAAAAATGCGGTGGTTTTTTACCCCTTTTTTCCGGGCAGCCTTTTCAAGTGTGTGCAGGAGTAAAGACAACACCACCCATGACCATTTCTCCTGGGCAGCTCTCACCTTCGCCTCCCCCACATCGAGAGCGATGCGATATTCCAGCTGCGGGGGCAGGGCTCCGTCAGCATTCCCCAGGTAGCGCTGGATGCTGGGCACGGCATCCGCATCCAGACTGAATTCTCCTCTTTTGGGGAACATCGAAAGGAGCATTTCCACTTCCAGCAGCTGGAGCTCCAGGCATTCTTTCACCGTCACAGCCATTGCAGGCCTGGAACGAGAGGAGAGGAGTCAAACCCGCGGTTCAGCCCCCAGGGAAGCCCCACGGTTCTTTAAGGGCAGCATCGGGCGAAACGCGGCGCTCACAGCCGGGCCCAGGGACGGAGCGGAGCAGGGAACGGAGAGCCGCGCTGATGTGTGGGCAGAGGTACCTTATTTATGTTATTTATGTTATTTGTGTTATTTATCAGCACATACCGCCGGTGCTGGCTGGGTGTCCTGGTTCGCCCCCAGCCGCCCCAAGCCCCACAGAGCCGCCTCCCCCACCCGCGGCATCGGGGAGAATCGGAAGGGAAAAAGGCAGAAAATTGACTGCGTGAAATGAAGACAGCTCCACAGGGAGAGCAAAAGCCGCGCACACAAGCAAAGCAAGGAATGAATTCCCTGCTTGCAGGTGGGTGCTCAGCCATCCCCAGGAGAGCAGGGCCCATCACACCTCACGGTGACTCGGGAAGACAAACGGCATCACTGCAAACGTCCTCCCCTTCCTCCTTCTTCCCCTGCCTTATATACCGAGCATGATGTTCCATGGTCTGGAATGTCCCTTTGGTCACTTGGGGTCACCTGTCCAGGCTGTGTCTCCTCCCAAACACCTCCAGCCTCCCCACCAGCCTGGCAGCACAGAAATCAGAAAAGGCCTTGGCTCTGTGTAAGCCCTGCCCAGCAACAACAAAAACATCTCCACACCATCATCATCACCACTCTGTTCAGCACAAATCCAGAACACAGCCCCGTACCAGACGCTGTGAAGAAAATTAACCCGCCCCAGCAAAAAGCAGCGCACTGGGGGGGCAACTTTGTAATCCGAGCGTGCTGTCAGTGAAGCTGTGCGAGGCGGGCTGTCACCGCGAGCCCAGCCCAGCCCAGCCCATCCCCGCGGGACACGGCCCGGCCGCTCCCACCGCCGCCATTCCCGGACACTCCCCGGTTCGCTCCCGGTGGGCGGGGCTGCGCCTGCGCGGCCGCGGCTCTGGGCGGGGGCGCGGCCCGAGTGCCACGCGGCGGGCGCTCTTC